GACAGCCACACTTAAGAATATATGTTAGTATTTATTAAAAACATATGTATTGTGCAATATATTATACTTTAAATCAAGGTCAGCTGGGGTTCTAAATAGACTCTGTCTCAAAACAGGAAAACAAATCAAAATTATATACACCTTTTTAAAATGTTTAGTTTTGTTTTTTTTTTTGAGATGAGTCTTACTTTAGTTGACTAGGTCAACCAGCATGCCCTTGAATTCATGCATATCACCCTGCTTTTGCCTCCCAATGGCTGGGATTATTGGTTTGTGCTGGAATGCTCAGCAATATTCATTTTTGAAAATGATTGTATGGGCACCAGTCGCAGATCCCTGAAATGACTTTTAACAGGTATTATATTGTCCTAATTTTCCAGTGCTCCTTTTCCTGTATGTTACTTCATTTTGTTCTTCTATTCTAGGGTGTGTGTGTGTGTGTGTGTGTGTGTGTGTGTGTGTGTGTTGACTTTGTAGCACAGGTTTTAAAACTCAATGATCTTCCTGTCTCTCTGTGTGGGGTCCTCATGTTAAAAGAATGCAACACCTTATGCAGCTTGAAAAATAAGTTTTATGATGCAAGTTATCTATTTATTTATTTTACAAATTTAATTTTAGTTATTTTATGTGTACATGTATTTTCCTGTATGTGTGTCTTTATACCCCATTCATGCATTGTGATCAGGGAGGCTAGGAGGTGGTGTCTGAACCTCTGGGCCTAGAGTTACAGATAGTACTGAGCTTCCATGTATACTGGGAATGGAACCTGGGTGCTCTGCAAGACTCATTAGTGCTCTTAACTGCTAATGTGTTTTTCATCCCAAGTTTTCTGTTCTTGATAATGTTTCCTATTCAAGGCAGCCTAGTCAGGGGGTAAGACACCTGTTGCTTATTAAAAAGTGGGATTCTCCTTCAGGTGAGAGAATTAGTCTCAGATAGGGATGGGCTCCCTAATTGTTTATCCAATACAATGTTGTCAGCCCTTAAATCATATACCTACAAGCAACAAAGATGGACTCAGAAGGTTGCATTCGAATGTTTCAAGATACTTATTCACACAGGAAGAAGTTAGAAGAAAAGTATTTTGGAAGGGATGGACGGAGGACAACAAAGGGGGAAAGTGGTATAATATTTTTTTATTATAAATGTATAGAAATAAAGTTTAAATAAAAAGAGGGGCTAGAGAGATCACTGAGCTATTCAGACCACTGGGTGTTGTTGCAGAGGACTCAGGTTCTATTTCCAGAACCCACATGGTAGCTAACCATTTGCTGTAACTCCCCTTCAGGGCATCTGCCACCTTATTCTGGCCTCTGTATGCAATATGTACAGACACATGCAGGCAAAACACATTATAACTAAAATAACTAAAGATTAAAAAAAATAAGAAAAGAATGGAATTCTCTAGAGTGATGTCACAGCCCTGAACCAGACAGTAGCCAGGGCTGATTAAAATGAACTCCTGCTGGTCCGCATGAAAGCAGCTATGGCCTTCCTCTGAGCCAGCCTTCTCATTGGTAAAAGCAGCCTTATTCTGAGGTTACAATATCTCAGCATAGCCATCCAACTAAAAAGAGCAACCACAGTGCTACTAGGTGATTTTCCTTGATGTTTTCTATATCTGTGTTCTCTGTCCTTTGTATTTGTGAGAATTATGGTATCAGTACATCTATCTTTTTTAAATGAAGCATACTTTCCAAAGCAGTCTAATTTCACAATGTCATTTACTTGATTTTCAGCTAATATCTTGTGGTATAAGATAAACATGCCAGAGGCATTTCTTTCCATCATTTTTGTAATTTTTGTTTGTTCCTGTATGACTTTGAGGTAAGCTCTCAAAAGGTCTCTGCTTTTACTTTGTTACCATGTTCAGAAGTGGATTGTTCATTGAAACTGCTTAGGAATAGGTAGAACTCTACATGAACATGTTCAGACTCCCTAAGCAAAATCCCCATGCTCTGCTTGCCTCCTGCAGGTAAGAAATCTCTCTCAGTTCTTCTGTCTTGGCTATTGTGATGGCTATTCTTGGTAGTCAAACTGACTACCACTGGGATTAACTAAAACCCAAAGAATTGGATACATCCCTGAGGGATTTTTTCTTAATTAAAGAATTTGAAATAGGAAAACCCTTCATTAATCTGGATATTTTGAGGCAGTGAGATCCACCTGGTAAGGGCCAGCCTACATATATAAAGAATATTGAAGAAGGAAGCACTTTCCCTTTGCTTGCTTGCTCTAGCTGTGCTTGGAACTTCATTTCTTTCCTGTCATTAGAACCTACTTCTCAGGTTACTAGTGTATACTTGAAGACCAGCTGAGAATAATTGAGAATAAAACAGGGCTGGAGAGATGGCTCAGCAGTTAAAGGCTAGGCTCACAATCAAAATATAAGAGGATAAAACAGACCTTCTCTAAAGCCAGGAATATGCTTGGGAGATCTAGTAATGATCTGGGGCCAGGGCCTTTGTGGAGGGGTTGCTTCAGATCCTGAGAACCCAATTCTTTCCACCACATGGGGCTATGGTTGTCAGTTCCAAGGGTGCTTTGGGTTTGATCAGTGGTGTTCTTGGGATTCCCTGTGTTTCACTTGTGCAACATTGTTTTCTTAGCCTTCTCCTGAGTTAGTCCCATTTTATGACAGTTTCTGCTGACTTCATCATAGAAGTTCCATGTTTCCTTCCATTTTCCACTGGATGTAGTATACAAGATGCTATTCTTCTTAAGACCTTACTTGGCATGAGACATAGCTTGTGCAAGACTTCCTCAACCCTGCCTTTGTCTTTTCTGCCTTCTGTTTTTCCTGTCTTTCTCATCTTCTGGCTCCTGTACCTCACAATTTTGTCACTGGTGTACTTAAGAAATAATTCTGGGAGTATCTTTGCTGTGTGTGTCTCCCATCTGCCTGTGTGGCTAGACTTGCAGTCTCCTTTCCCTATTTAAATTGTTCAGAGTGCAACTTGGAGTCTGAATCTAAAAGAAAGATGACAGTATACCTGGAATACAAAATCTGTTCTAGGTTGGTTCCTCTTTGAGCATTAGCCAAAGCTTAATGCATGCTATAATTACTTTTTTAGCATGATCTCTCCTTTGTCATATTAATTGCAGAACAGCTATACCTCCAGTTTTTTAGAAAAATGTTTCTGAGATAGGCTTTCCTGTGTTGACTCACGTGGACTTGATCCCAGTCTGTTGTTCCCCAGGGCAATTACCTTCCAGTCCTCTTGATTAAACCAACCAAATTCTTAAATTTAATGGCTGTATCCTCACCGAGTTTAAAATTATCTATTTCAGTCATGTAGTTAGCTATCCATTTGACAATGGTTGAGATTAGCAATGTGGAGTCAGGCAATCAATTTTAGATGACCCGTCAGTGTCCTGACTTGTCATTTCTTAGGGTCCAGAGATAAGGGCAATCTGGATAGAGGACTGATCTTATCATGAAACCAAATTGCTGTAGTTATACTAGTTCAACCAGAATAGAAGGTCTGGGTAAAATGGTGTGGCCCTGCCTAACTGGACTATTTTCCTGGTTTAAGATGTTCAGCCTGAGAGAAAAGGTGTGAGTACTCTTTGGTGTTCTCCCATACAAATCCCTAATCTCTAGAGCACATGGCCATAAAGCCTGTTTGAACTTTTCAAAATAATTCTTTGAGATTATAACTACATCATGTCCACAGACTCTTTCCTGCTTGCAAGTCCTACCATTGACCTTTCACTATTTTCTAATTTGTGGCCTTTTTTTCCTTTAAAAACAGTAGCAACAGTTGCCATTTGACATATCTTTGGTTGTAGGAGTTCCTGGCTAAGAAGCAAAGGGTTGAATGCACTGGACATTGAGTGTGTGATGGAATGTTCACACAAAGGACCATGTGTCTTGGAAGAGGAACAGGAAGTGCTCTGGGAGACTGGAAGAATGTCTACTAAAATACTAGAGACCTGTCTCCTGGGGTGGAAGGGCAAAGCTGGGAAGACCTTTGCTGTCTGAGTCATTTGATCTCTGATCACCCAGTAAGGGAGGTGCTAATGTCCTGAGGCGTAGCTGGGTGGCTGTAACTAATGTGGAACCCTTGGAAGGCTTAGTAATCAAGAGTACCAGTGGTGAGTAGCTCTAAGATTCTTTCTAGGGATCATCTCTAATGGAGCTGTAGGGAGTTGTGATGGATTCCACAAGCCATGCCTTTGTGAGTGTGAGGGTCACTGTCTTCACTGTCACAGAGCAGGAAGAGCAGTTCTTCTGAACTGCAGAAGTTTCTTAGATATACATGGTGTTGGGTGGATGAAAGAGGCAGATTCCATATCTTGTGCCATAGTCCACACATAGGAAATTGAAATTTTAATTATTCTTCTACATTGTTTTCTGTGTGGACATCAGTGGGGCTAAAACAACAAGGGGACATGACAGTTGGCAGAGCCATAGCAGATTACCTTGATTTACAGAGAGAGCTCTAGAGCATGGAGCCTGTCAGGAAGAAATATCTGTAGCTGGGGGTTCAGAAACATAACAGTTTAAGGGTCATTTTGAGATAATTTTGTGGGAATTGTAAAGTCCGTGTTTAATTTCTAAACACATAAAATCATAGATAGCTGGGTAACATTGGCCAAGAGTGATTAAACAAAGTGATTCCTAGTCCCGTGAAGTAACTTCATAGAGAACTTGCTATAACTCTGGTCTGAGCTTGGCAGGATCTATCCCAATTAAGAAGCCAAATTTGGGGGGGCGGTCACCCATGTTGTACTGGTTCTGGAAACAAGAAAGATGCAAATTTTTTTTTTTTTTTCGAGACAGGGTTTCTCTGTGTAGCTTTGCGCATTTTCCTGGAACTCACTCGGTAGCCCAGGCTGGCCTCGAACTCACAGAGATCCGCCTGGCTCTGCCTCCCGAGTGCTGGGATTAAAGGCGTGCGCCACCACCGCCCGGCTGAAAGATGCAAAATTTAAAGGACATGGATTCTTCCACTCTGGTTCCAGTTCAACCCTGTTGCACCCATCTTGTTTTGCAGAGTCAGAAACCCAGTGAGGAGACTGTGAGAGTTCATTGCATGAAGTTATGAAGATGAAGCCTGTGTTGTATTTTGAGACCATTGGATGTTGAGAGACCCAAGCTATAAGGCATCTGCCATGGACCCCTGCATACAGGTAGTGGAAATAGCAAAGGAGAGACATGTATATAAGTTGCATGGATAGAGGTATCTGAGCCCTTTGAGAATTAAGCCCCACATGTCTGAGACAGAGCTACATAATTTGATGGTTTCCCTTCTGAGTTTTAGTCTTGCCTTGCTACAATATTCCCTCATTGTGTCCACATTCCTCTCTTTGTTAATTTATTCATCTCTCATATAGTCCTTCCTGACTTCAGTTCCCCTCCTTCTGTACCTCCCAGCCCCCTCCTCTGCTCCCTTCTTTCCCAGATCCCCTCCTCCCCTGTTTCCCTTCATAAAAGTGCAGATCTCCCTGGAATATCAAGGAAATTTGGCATGACAAGTTACGGTAAATCTAGGCACAAGGCTTCATATCGAGGCTGAATAAGGCAACCCAGAAGGAGGAAAAGGTTCCCAAGAGCAGGCAAAAGAGTGAACACTCCCCAGCTGTTAGGAGTCCTACAAAGATACCAATTATTCAACCATAATACATATGCAGAGAACCTGGTGCAGACCCATGCAGGATCCATGAATGCTGCTTCTGTCTCTGTGATCCCCTATGAACCCAGCTTATTTGATTCTATGGGCTGTCTTCTCTTGTCCTCATTTAGGTTAGGAAATTTTTTTTTCTATGATTTTTTTTTGAAAATATTTTATGGGCCTAAGTACTGGGATTCTTTTTCTATTCCTATTGTTCCTAGGTTTGATCTTCTCATAATGTTCCAGATTTCCTGGATGTTATGTTTTGGGAATTTTTTTAGATTTAAAATTTTCTTTGACCAATATGTCCATTTCTTCTATCATATCTTCAGTGCCAGAGATTGTCTCTTCTTTCGCTTCTATTCTTTTGGTGAAGCTCACCTCTATAGTTCCTGTTTGCTTACCTACATTTTTAATTTCCAGAATTTCTTTGGTTTGTACTTTTTTTTGCTCCTATTTTCATTTTTTTGTTCATTTCCTTCAACTGATTTCTTTTCCATGGCTTTCTTTTAGGGATTTATTCATTTTCTCCAATATTTTGTTTATATTTTCCTTGCTATCTTTAAGGGATTTACCCATTTCCTCTTTAAGGAACTCTATCATCTTTATAAAGTTTGTTTTAAGGTCTTTACTTGTGCTTCAGCTGTGTTGGAATATTCAGGGCTTGTTGTAGTAGAATTGCTGGGCTCTGGTGGTGACATATTGCCCTGGTTGTTGTTGATTATATATATTTTTAAATTATTTATTTATTATGTATACAATGTTCTGTCTGCACACATCTCTGCAGGCCAGAAGAGGGTGCCAGATCTCATTACAGATGGTTGTGAGCCACCATGTGGTTGCTGGGAATTGAACTCAGGGCTTCTGGAAGAGCAACCAGTGCTCTTAACCTCTGAGCCATCTCTCCAGCCCTGTTGATTATATTCTTAAGCTAGCATCTAGGTATCTGGGTTTGGAGTGGTTATGGATCTAGGTGCTAATTTCCCAGCTCTTTGTTGAATGTGTGTTTTCTTCCTTGGTTCATATTTGCTTTCTGGTCTTCAGGTCTTCTGGTCTGTGTGGTCTATGGTTGAACAGCAGCAGTTCCTTCCCCATATCCAAGTTGGAGGCTCAAAATCTGGTGGCAAATGTGGCCTCTGTTCCAGCATAGAGTCTTTGCCAAAGTTGGGAGCTGAGAAAAGATGAAGTGGAGATGTTGGGGATAGTGTGGGAGGCACCAAGAAAGTGGGGGAAGTTTTAGGGCAGGTGGCTTACGTGGATTTCTGGCAGCTGGTATGTCCTTTGTTTACTATATCATCTGGACCAAGGCTTCCCCCTCCCTCTATTCTTCCCAGATTTCTGCCCCACCTCCTCACCCCCCATCCACTGTTACTCTCTTTCTCTTTAGAAAACAGTAGGCCTCCTAGAGATATAACCAAACACATCATAACAGGATGTGATAAGACTAGACACAAACCCTCATTTCCAGGCTGGATTAGGCAACCTAGTAGGAAGAAAAAGGTACCAGAGCAGGCAAAGGATTTAGAGACACTCCTACTGTTAGGAATCACACAAACACCCAAGCTAAACAACCACAGCATATATGCAGAGCACCTGGCACAGACCCATGTATGCTCCATGATTGCCACTTCAGTCTCTGTGAACCCCTATGATCCTTGCTTGATTCTGTAGCCTTTCTTCTTCTGGTATCCTCAATGTCCCTGCCTTCTATATTCCTCACCCCTTTTCTTCCATGGAGTTCTTTGGGAGACCATCCCTCACCCCCACATTTCTCCAGAGTACTCTTGAGTAGGAGCAGTAGTAAATGTTAGATAGAAGGATAGAGGGGAGAGAAACAGATAGAAAATACAGGATAGACTCAGGAGAGCCTGGATCCTAATCCATTGGGCCTCAACTGTCTCTGCTCTAGGGTTTTTAAAGGAATGCTAAGGAGTAGAGCAAAAGACCTCCCCCCATCACAGCCAAGTGCAGACCATCTCAGACACCTGCACTCAGGCCTGTGGTCTAGTCATCCTCTCTGTGCAGACCTGCTGGGTAAAGCCCAGATGTGCTCCAACAGGGTTCCCAGAGCTCTTCCTAGTGTTTGGATGAACATTCTCTACATCTGCTCCAATCAGCTGCTGGAGAATGTGTCTCTAATTACAGTTGGGCTAGACACCAATTTATGATTTTTTTTTTTTTGGTTTTTTCGAGACAGGGCTTCTCTGTGTAGCTTTGCGCCTTTCCTGGAATTCGCTTTGGAGACCAGGCTGGCCTTGAACTCACAGAGATCCACCTGCCTCTGCCTCCCGAGTGCTGGGATTAAAGGCGTGCGCCACCACCGCCCGGCCCCAATTTATGATTTTAATGCAAAATATGGTTAATCATTTCATTGGCTTTTTTCTTTAATTTTGTTTTGATTAGTTGTATTTTATTCTGCCCTAATTCTCTCAGCCATTCAACTTCTGGTTCTTTCTCATCCAGGCAGTGCAAGGCATGGGCTCCCTCTTTTGGCATGGGCCTCAAATTAGACCAGTCATTGACATGGTCTAACCAGTCACCATTACCCAAACAGATTAGAAAACAGTAGGCCTCCTAGGGATATAACCAATGCAAACAATAGAAGTGTGAGTTGAAGGATTGTATTTTGACTGGATTGGTGTCTTAGTCCCATCACTGGGAGCCTTATGTGGTTACAGAAGATGGCCAATTAAGGTTCCACATTCTCAATTACTTAGAGTACTCAGTAGGGTCACTATCATAGATTCTAGGAAGTTTCCACTGCACTAAATTTTTGTATCCACCCTTAAACCCCCTCCCCTCATTCCAGTCATCTCTCTCTGTATTCCTTGTCTCCATCCCTCTGTTACTCACCTGATCATTCGTGTTCCCATCCACACCTGCCCCTAGTTAACCTGCAAAATATGTTCTGTTTCCTCTTTCCAGGGAGATCCATGAATCTTCCCTATAGCCATCCTAGTTACTTAGCCTCTCTGGGTCTGTGCTTGTACTGTGATTATTCTTTACTTAGCACTAATATCCATTTATAAGTGAGTACATATCACATTTGTCTATGTGGCTTTGTGTTGCCTCACTCAGGATAATAACCAACTCAAGAAACTGGATATCAACAAACCAAATAATCCAATTAATATGGGGTACAAATCTAAACAGAGAATTGTCAATAGAGGAATCTAAAATGGTTGAGAAACACTTAAAGAAATTTTCAACATTGTTAGCCATCAAGAAAATGCAAATCAAAGCCACTTTGAGATTTTATCTTACACTCGTTAGAATGCCTATGATCAATACCTCGAGTTACAGCTCATGCTGGCAAGTATGTGGAGCAAGGGGAACACTCCTCCATTGCTAGTTGGAGTGCACACTTGTATAGCCACTGTGGAAATCAATATGGCAGTTCTTCAAAAAATTGGGAATCTATCTACCTCAAGACCCAAATGCCACTCTTGGACATATACCCAAAAGACACTCCTCCATTGTAGCACAAGCACACTTGCTCAACTATGTTCATATAGGCTTTACTCATAATAGCCAGAAACTGCTAGGTGTGTAAGAGATTGTGTTGATTGAAGATTGATGTGGAACGCCTCCTCCACTGATGGTGGCAATATCCCTAAACAAGTGGGCCTGGGCTGGATAAGAGACCTATCTGAGCATGAGATAGTGACCAAGCAAGAGAGAAAGTGAGGAGACAATGTGTGTCAATGGGTTTTGCAATCAGTTGCTAGCTTGAATTTCTATACTCTACTCCCAAAATTATGAACTGTGATTTGATAGAATCAGCCAAATAAACCTGTTCATTACCAGAGATGCTGTTCATTACAGAGGATTTAATCTCTCCTGTCCCATGTTGTTGATTTATGATCAACAGTTGCATTACTGTTATTTTCATTTGTCTATTTGTACCTCTTTAAACATGCATCTCCTTTAGTAAGATCTTCTTAATGTTACATTATAAACTGGGCACTTCAGGTTTCTAAAAGATGAATACAGAACTGGAGTAAATACATAACTCTTTCTAGGAACTTCAATAAAAACATTTGAGTTCTTTTTATTTTTTTGTTTGATTTTTTGTAGCAGAGACAGGTTCTTATTAATATGTATGTCTGGTTGTCTTGGAACTCATTACATTGACCAGGCTGAAATCCAATTCAATTAAATTCACCTGCTTCTGCCTCCTGAGTGCCAGCATTGAAGGTATGAACCAGTACATCCATCTTGCCCATCTTTTTTTGTACTTAGTAGTTGTTCATAAAATTTCTTTGCTGTATACTCAGTATCACTGATCTGTTTGCTTGTCTCTCTCTGTCTGTTAATTGGCATTTCACTTTCAAGGCTATATCCTATTCAAAGGGTGCAGAGATGATAGAGGTGAACCTATTCAGCTACCTCCTAAAGGAATTTGATGATTGCATTACAACTTCTGTGTTATGGAATAAGTGTGGGAAGCACCAGAATTCTATGACTATATTGTCAAAGAAGTATACATTTACTATATTGTCATTTTCATACTTTCTCTTTTACACATGTATGGGATATTTTAGAATACAGTGACCTATGATGATGTGCATATAGATTTCACTTGGGAAGAGTGGACTTTGCTAGATCCCTCCCAGAGGAATCTCTACAAAGATGTGATGGTGGAGACCTACAGTAACCTCACTGCTGTAGGTAAGACTGAATTTTCCTTCACATTTTAAAATAAGGGGATAACTGTTTCTTGGTTATTAATGCTCTTCTGTAGTTTTGGCTGAGAAAGAGGAAGAATGAGCTGAATAAATCAGGCATGGTTCTAAGGTTCACTTAACACAGTAACTTAAATATTACACAGTTTCTTATAATATGCTTTTCATTTTCTGATACTATATTTTAGGCTACAGTTGGGAAGACCATAATATGGAAGAACATTGTCAAAGTTCTAGAAGACAGAGAAGGTAATTTTCATGTGCAAGGTGATACAAATGTGCCTCTGAAGAAATTTTGATGTGTCCTGGAAGTTTTAAAAGAAGCAACAGTGTAATTAAGCACAGCTTTAAGTGTATTGATGATTATTAAATTCTCACAAAACCTTATACATCAATGTAAGGTAGCTGATTTATGTTTGCAAGGCATTCTTCTAAGAAAGAAGACAGGAAAATAATGCTGTAATATATATCATCTTTTGGATCATAGCCCTGTGAGAGCTATACTGTAGAACTGCCAATCCACTTAGTTTCATACCACTCAGATACTGCAAAATGTACACATGTTGAATAGGTGATAAGTTTATATCCAAAGCCTTCTAATAGTCAGATTGTCCATAGTAAAGCTGATGTTTCATATACTTGTGTACTTGTACTCACTTTGCTAAGTTAAGCTAAAGAGACAGTTTATGAGGGTTAGAAGGTTGTTGTGGAGAAAACTTAAACCCTATACCAAATGTTTACTATGATTAGAAAGTCAAACTATGTGAATGCAATGTGGAAACCATTTATTTGTTACTTTCTTTTATGAATATACCATATGTCACTCTGGATACAAAGTGTGTTAGCATAGGGATATGGGAAGAAGCATATGTTCCTCTCTCTCTCCCAAAACAATTAGAAGATATGTAGTAGTCCCCACTTTGAGTAGACTTGTTGAATGTGATACAAGTTTACAATTAATTGGTTTTCTGATATAATTGGGAATGTATCAACAAACTCAAACTTCAGAGAAGCCCTATGAGTACTAAGAATGTGCAAATACTTCTGTTTGTCTGGTTCACTTTGCAAATGTAGTATGACTCATAGTCTAGAAAATTTATGAATCCATTAACTGTGGTAAAGAGTTGAGTTCTTTTAGCTCTCTTGTAATATGGGGAAAAAAAATCTCATATAGAGAAAAGATGGTATAAGTGTGAGCCATATAATAGAGACTCTTTCCATCACAGGTATTCTTAATGAAGGGGAATACATGAATGTGAGCAAAGTAATAAAAACTTAAGTTCTGATTCCCCTTTATAATTAGACAAAATTGTAAAATTAATTAATATTGATAAAGTGGTTCATCAGTGTAATGATTATAGTAAAAGTTTACCATGTGCCAATTATCCTTGCAGGTACAAAAGAAGTAATACTGGAGAGAAGCCCTGTGAATATACTCAATGTGTTAAGTCCATTGCATATCACAGTAGTCTCCAAATACACAAAGGAACACATACTGAAGAAAAACCTTATGAATGTAATCAGTGTGGTAAAGCCTTTGCACATTACAGTCATCTTCAAATACATAAAAGAACACATACTAGAGAGAAACCTTATGAATGTAATCAATGTGGTAATGCCTTTGCATTTCATAGTCTTCTTCAAATACATAGGAGAAAACATGCTGGAGAGACACCCTACAAATGTAATCAATGGATTAAAGCCTTTTCACAACACAGTTATTTCCAAATACATAAAAGAACACATACTGGAGAAAAACCCTATGAATTTAATCAGTGTGGTAAAACCTTTGCAAGAGACAGTCATCTTCAAATGCATAAAAGAACACATACTAGAGAGAAACCTTATGAATGTGATCAATGTGGTAAAACCTTTGTACATCACACTTATCTTCAAATACATAAAAGAACACATACTGGAGAGAAACCTTATGAATGTAATCAATGTGGTAAAACCTTTGCATATCAAAATATTCTTCGAAGGCATGAAAGAATTCATGTTGAAGTGAAACCACATGAAGGTATTCAATATTGTGAAGCTTTTGCTCATCACAGTCATCTCAGAATGCATAAAGGAACATATACTAGAAAGAAACCCTATGAATGTAATCAATGCGGTAAAACCTTTGCACGTTATGGCCATCTTCAAACACATGAAAGATCACATAGTGGAGAGAAACCTTATGAATGTGATCAATGTGGTAAAACCTTTGCAAGTGACAATCATCTTCGAGTACATAAAAGAATACATACTGGAGAAAAACCTTATGAATGTGATCAATGTGGTAAAAGCTTTGCACGTCACAGTCATCTTCAAATACATAAAAGAACACATACTGGAGAGAAACCCTACAAATGTAATAAGTGTGATAAATCCTATTCACAACTCAGTTATCTCCAAATACATGAAAGAACACATACTGGAGAGAAACCTTATGAATGTACTCAATGTGGTAAAGCCTTTGTAAGTCAGCGTAGACTCCAAATACATAAAAGAATGCATACTGGTGAGAAACCCTATGAGTGTAAGCAGTGTGATAAAGCCTTTTCCTGTCAAAGTAATTTTCAAAGGCATAAAAGAACACATACTAGAGAAAAATCCTATGAATGTAATCAATGTGGTAAAGCTTTTGTACATTGTAGTAGTCTCCAAATACATAAAAGAACACATAGTGGTGAGAAACCCTATGAATGTAATCAATGTGGTAAGGCCTTTGTATGTCATAGTCATCTTCGAATACATAAAAGAACACATACTGGAGAGAAACCTTATGAATGTAAATATTGTGGGAAAGCCTTTGTAAGTCATAGTAATCTTCAAAGACATGAAAGAGTTCATACTGGAGAGAAAACCTATGAAGGTATTTAACATGATGAAGCTTTTGCACGTTTCTATTGTTTTCAGCATCATGAAATAATTCTTATTGGAGAGAAACCTTGTGAACACTAACAATGTGGTAAAGCCTTTGCATATCATAGTTATCTCTGAAGGCAGAAAATAAGACATACTAGAGAAATCTTATCAATGTACTCATTGTGGTAAAGCCTTTGAATGTCATAGTCATCTTCAAATACCTAAGAGAATAAATACCAGAGAGAAAGCCTACAAATGTAATCAATATGCTTTTCACAATATGGTTATTTCCAAATACATAAAATAACACATACTGGGGAGGAACTCTATGAATAGAAGCAGTGTAGTAAAGCTTTTGCATCTGATAGTAGTCTCCGAATACATAAAAGAAAACATTACTGGGAAGAAACCCTTTGAATGTAAGGTAAGCAGTACAACCTTTGTATGTGTAAGTAGTCCTTGAAGTCATGAGAAAAAAAAACATATGCAGAGAAACCCTATTAATGGTCAGTGTGTTAAAATTTTGCACTTCATGGTAGTCTTTCTGTTACATGAAGCAATTCCTGGTTAAAAACAAAAAACTATAAGCCTTTAGATGCCTAACACCTGTTACAGGAATGAATGCAGGAATGAAGAAAAACATTGTTTTAATTTTAATTATGTGATGTCTGTGTATCTTTATGTGGGGATGTGCATGTAAATGCTGGTTCCCAAGAAGTTTAGACCCTTGGACATTCTTGTAGCAGGAATTACAGGAAGTCATCAAAAACCTGACCTTGGTCCCCAGAATGAACTTTATGTCACTGCTTGGCCATAACTCTACTCCTGTAAATATTTTAAAGCTTCATATATCTTCTTGATGGTAGGAAATATGAAAGAACTTGTATAAGAGAAATCCTGTTCATGTAAATAATTTGGTAAAGACTTTAGGCATCACCGTTGTCTGTAGTTTATAGAAAAAAAATCTTGTTTCATCTCTTTTTCGTTATAGACATGAAGCAAGTAAGTTATTTACCATGTTTACCCAAGACTGTGGAGAGCCCTACATTGTAATTTCTATTTTGAAATATTTGAAATCATTGATATTAAAGTGTGCTTTATGAGTGACAAATCTATTTAGTCAAGTTTATATTTCTGTGGCTTTTGTTCATCTTTTATTGTGCTTTCACTTGCACATAGGTATTTTTCTGTTCAGTGTATAGAATGGAGTGCCCATCATCTAAGTAGTCCATTATTTATTTACCAGACAGTGGAGGATTATACTTTTCAAGTAAGGGTGTCTGAAAATTTGGTGGGTACCTGGTTTTGTTTTTCATAGCTTTATGAATCCTCTTGAGATGTTGTTTGTTATACAACCTGTCTTAGATGTTGAAAATTAGACAGGGATACATTTGAACTCATGATCCTCATGTGTCGCCTTATGAATACAAGTCCAAGGGTAGATAATGTACCCCCAACATGCACTATTTTGTCAATACATTGTAACAATGTTAATGTTAAAAAACTTAATAGAAGAGAATATAAGGAACAATACCTCATGTGTATATCCACTGCAGCATTTTTTCTGTCTGGAAGAGATATAATAAAGTAGGATAATCAGCAATCAACTGTATTATCTCATAACATAGCTTCATATTTCTTTGGATATGTATATATTACTTGATGTTCCATGCTTCTTCATGTCCAAGTATAGTTATATGTTTGGCACTTCATCTTGAAGTACTGCCTTCAAAGATAATTATACAGAGATGGCCAATAATGTAGCAGCAATGAAAATTTTTAAAAATTTCTGTTTGTGTGTGTAATGTGATTATCAGTTTTTAGGCTGTGACAGATGTGTGGAGCCTGAAGACAACTTTGTGAGGTCTACTTTTTTCTTGCTCATATAGTGATCAAGAGGAAGTTATCAGCCTTGCACACCGCAGACATTTCCTACTGGGCCACCTTCCAGATGCTCAAATATGATTAGTTGAAACATTACATCTGTAAAATATTGTCTTTCTTTTCAGACTGTAAACATATCTTCATCCAAGGATAGAGGAAAACAGGACAGTTTGAATAATGAATACTGTTTGCAAATGAAAATGATATACTGCTATCACTTGTATTTTGGAATATGTTAATTCTCAGGACTAAACACTGTTCATAACACTTTCTCAGCCACGAACAAATGCCAGAGAATTCTCTCAGTAATGTTGATTGCTGCTAAACTTAATAACTTCAGTTCAATCTCTAGGAGACCTGTAGTACTACAAGTCTTTTTCTTATTTCTATATTTGTGCTTTGGTATATACACACTTACATACCAGCACACACATAAATTTCAATCCAAATAAGTGCCATTGAGATCACTTGAAGCCAAACAACTCCTTGGCTTTCAACTCTAGAACACACATAAGGGATGTAGATAATCAATATCTGTAAGTTGTCTTCTCATTGCCAAATTACATCATTATGCAGGTTTACACACACAAACACATTCCAGGCATTTTAAATTGATGAAATTAACAAAGCAAAAAAAAAATCCAATTATTGGGAACATATGAAATGATTTGCCAGTTTAAATTATTAGAATTTCAAGAAGTATTACTGTTCATCAAAACAATGATAGTCCCTTTTAAAATCTAATTTTATCCTTTCTGTCTGATTCAAAGATAGGTCATTTTAAAACCATGTCTTGGCTGGGCTTAGACGTCGATACACATAATCACAGCACTTGGGAGACAGTGGCAACTGATCTGTCTGAATTTGAGGTCAGCTTGGTTCATTTAGTGATTTCCAGGACAGCCACAACTATGTAAAAGATATCCTTTTTCAATAAGATTCCAAAAAGAAAAAGCATATCTCAAATATGGAGCTTTTTCTAATGTAATCTTACTGGACTCTGGTTTCAGCAAAACCTTTTGTTGTCTTTACTCACATGAAGAGAATGTGGAGAGTCCATTCATGGAGATGTAGAAATCCATTGAATTCTTTGGCAAACATCTAGCAGGGACTTTCATCACCTTCAAATGATAGGAGATAGAAGGAGTAATGAGACATCATCTGCATTATAATGACGTTTGGGGGCTGGAGAGTTTGATCCCTAGAACTTTTTCTCTAGAGTACCCAAGTTTGGTTTCTAGCCCCCCACATCAGATGAGTAAGAATTACCTGTAATTCCAGCCTCCAGTAGATATGATACGTTCTTCTGGTCTCCTAGGGCAGCAGATATGCAAATGGTGAGAAGACAAATATATATGTGATTAAATGTTGTAAATAAGGTTTTCTTTTTGTATATGTTAATTTTTAAGAAAAATGAAAATTAATTTAGATGTACATATTTTGCCAGTGTGTATACCTAGTGTATGCTAGGTACTAGTGGAGGCCAGAAGAGGGTGTCTGATCTCCTATGACTGGAGTTACAGATAGTTGTGAGCTGTCTTGTGGGTGCTAGAAATCAAAGACAAGCCCTGTGGATGAGCAGTCAGCGTTCTTATCTGCTGAGTCATCTTTTCAGCCAAATGAACATCTCATCAATTGTGATGTTGTATGAATGGCTAATCCTGAGTTCATCTTTACCTCAATCCTGGTCACTCAAAAGAAATACAAGATTGATAGCATCAGAAACTAAGACATGGAGCTTAATGAAGTTTCCAAGCCTAAATCTCTACAAAATGAGGGAAGAGTACAAATATTGATCAGGAGAGAAACTGGCAAGTCTTTTAAAAAGTGGCTGACTACAGATTGAGTTTATCTCAAATGTGGTAAATAGGCAGCAATGGAAGCCCACAAGAACACTGCAACTGGGAGAATTAGGCTCAGGCAGGGATGAGCTCTGTATTTGCTTATACAATGCAATGTGTTCAGCCTTGAAACCCTATACACAGAATGAACAGAAATGGACTCAGTGAGTTTTATTTATATATTTGTGCATACTTAGTCACACATACTTAAGGAAGAAATTGGAAGGGAAGAATTTGGGAATGGATGGACAGAGGACAGGAAAGGGAGAAAATGATGTAATATATTTTAATAAAAATATATGTAAATAAATTTTAAATAAAAATGCTGCTAGTAATATAAATTATCAATTAAGAGCACTGGGTGTTTGTACAGAGGACACAGGTTCCATTTCCAGAAGCCATAGTAGCTAACCATCTCATGTAATTCCAGTTCCAGGGGATTTTATGCCTTCTGGCCTCTGTAGGTACTGCACACAGACATGCAGGCAAACACATATATACATAAAGTAAAAGTAAATTTTAAAAAATGGAAGTTCTGTACAGTTATGTCACAAGTCTTGAGACAGACAGTAGTAAGGATTACTTAAGATGAACTGATCCTCCATAGAAACAGCAGTGGCCTTCCTCTGAGCCAGCCTCCTCAGAGGCAAAGGCAGCCTTGTTCTGGGGTTAGAATAGCTTAGAATAGTGGTTCATTTAAGAGCACCATCCATGATTTGGAGAGGTGTCTTTCCCAAGATTTTTTTTTGTATTTATATTCTCTGTCATTTGTATGTGTATTTGTATCTCGGCATTGTTACATCTTTTAAATGTAGAAATATTTAGGTGATCTAAATATAAGTAGATCATAATGTTTTATCTAAAAGATAGATTTGTTCTATAAATCTCCATCTGCCTAAGTACCTAGACTTGCAGTCTTCTGTCCCTATTTAAGTTGTTCAAAATATAACCTGGGGTCTGGAATGAAAAGAGACATAAAGATGACAGCATATTTGGAATGCAAAATCTGTTCTAGGCTGGCCCCTCTTTTTCCATTGTCCACAGCTGGTTATGCGCTGTTATTAAAGAGATTTTTGTTATACTTTTAAGTGTGTGGAGTGATTTCTTTCTGTGAAGGCATATTAATTCTAGAACATCTGCACCTCTAGCCTTTTAGAAAAATGTTTCTGAGACAAGCTCTTTATGTTGACTCAGGTAGCCTTGATCCCACTCTGTTGCTCCACAGGATAATGACCTTGTTGTCCTTGTGATTAAACCAACTAAATTCTTAAGATTAAAGAACTTTAATACCATTGAGTTTTAAAATTACCCATTTGAGCCATGTAGTCAACTGTCCATTGCGATAATATGAAAAGGATTTGTGTGTGGAGCATGGCTTTTGTCTTCATACCAGAATAGAAATAGTTTATTATGTATACCAGAGGAGGAAATGGGATGGGCAATCAGCTGCTGGAGTCACCATTATGAGAAAGGACATGATTGTGTCAGGGGGGAGTGATTTTGTAATTTCCTAGCATGTATTAATTCATGTCATGTGAATGAACACAGACCAGATTGGTGGGTGTACCAATCTTCCCAGACTGGGAAG